TGGTGACGAGGGGCTTACGCCAAGGTTGCCCACATTCTCCCCTATTGTATATGTTATATGTATCCACCCTAGAGAAGCAACTTATACAATCAGGACTGGGCTTTTCACTAGCACATTTGGAGCATGGTGATCAAGTTGACTAGGTTCTACCGGGATTGACGTGCGCGGACGATGTGGTACTGACCTCAGGATCAGTGTTGGAAATGCAAAAACTTCTTGATATATGCTCCAAGGAGGCTATGGGACTTCGTTTAAAATTTAATACCAGCAAGTCAGCGGTGGTAGTGTTTTCGGGCTCCCTCGAGACAACTCTCGATAGCCTTCGTCTCGGAGGGTCCGATGTACCAATTCTTAATTCTTACAAGTACATGGGCATCACTATGTCCAACGACACAGACTACCTACAAGGCCATCGCACCCATCTCACCCAAGCAGCCCTACGAAGAGCCAGCATTCTCCGTCAGCGAAGCCTCTGGAGTTGCAACAGGTTCATCGTTTCGCAGGAGTTGTGGAAAGCAGTAATGGTACCCGGACTAACATTTGCAAATGCAGTGTTGTGTGTCCCAGGAGATGTCCGCGCCAATATGTAGCGTAGGCAGAGAGACGTGGGACGCCAGGCACTGGGCTGCCAAGGAGCGGTCGCCAACGAGGCAGTGCAGGGTGACCTGGGGTGCTATTCTGGTCGCAAACGGGTACCTTTCGAGTTGTGACGTATCGAGAAAGAAGGGGCGGAGCCTCAAACTAGAATTATTCTTGTTTGAGGCTCCGCCCCAACGTTCGGGTTCACGCACGCGGTCAGCTAGAATCTGACGATGCCTTACGTCGCGGTGACGTGTCTACCCAGTTGGGGCGAAGAAATCCCTGCATTTCCCCCTGTTCTTTTTGTTATCTTCTTCCTTTCCTCCGGGACTTAGAACGAGCGAATAACGGAGAAAAGGCTACCTTCCGGAAAATGGAAGGAAACAGAGAAAAATAATATTATCCTTTTATAAAATACGAATGATTATTTCAATAATTATGACGTAAAGTAAATTTAGCTAAGATATCTCAGCTTTTTTTTCTCGAAGTCTTTCGCTACGGTCTTTGAAAACAAACATGGCGAAAACCGCGGTAACGACCTTGTGGTGTTTGTGTCTCGCTTGCGTGGTTGCTTTCCCTGTTTCTGCACGATACGGATGGCATTACGATAAGAAAATATTATGTGAAGGTACGCTGCGACACCGTTATCCTTTGTGAAGCCGTCGTGAACATAAGCTGCAAATGAAATTTCCTGTTCGCCTGTGAAGGAGGCTCCAAATGGATACAGAGCTGACGACGACTCTATGGTAGTATATGACAAGTCATGAGATCGACGCAGAGTGCAACGGTTGTGAGCATTCTCTGGATGATACAGGAAAGTTTCTTCGGGCAGTTTTAATAATGCTTTGCTCCTTTGCTCACTGCAGTGATTATGCCGGTATAGTCTCCATAAGCCATGCTCTTCTCTTTCGGCGCTGAAGAAATGCACGCGACGGCATAATCTCGGGCAGTCTTTTTTACTTATTTTTATTTGAAGAAGAGCTCGTGCAAAAAAAAAAAAAAACGGCTTTTACGTTTTTACACGTCCCTACATAGGTACCTCTAGAAGGCACCCTAGGTACCTCGCTTTCCCATTGGCTTCATTGCGCGTGACGATTCAACGTCATTTGCCATGGAAACGTTCGTGAAACTAGAAAGCCTCTGTTTGCCGCTATACTTCGTTTCAGCTTCGGTCCAGACGCAGCCGATGCTACAAGCGCGAGCATGTGGCCCGGAACAGTGCTTGCACTGCACGAGCGCGCGTGCTTGGCAGGGATGCTGAAAGCCCGGAGCTCGCGCTTGTAGCTATGGCTGCGTCTGGACCGAAGCTGAAACGAAGTATAACAGTCATTTTTCGAGTTCGGGTTGTGACGACAAAATGACGTAAGAACAAGAATGCACGGGACTATTTGCGTTGTTTTAACTCGACAACCGTACCCTTGGCGAGTTAAACTCGAAAGAACATGGCCGCGATGCTCGTCGGATCGACCGCGGCTGGGGTTTGACATGCGATCGGTCACTTGATCAACGCGCACACGAATACTTTCGTGCTGTTGGATGAGCTTATTCGGCGACAGGACCGGGTCGAAGAGCACAGTGAGCTGGTGTTTAACGTCTCCGATGTAACGCTTGAAGAGATGCAAGACTTGGCTTCTATTTCTGCCGGTGTTATGAAGCTTGAAAGTGGTGTTGTTGTTGTGGCTCGTACGGTACCGTTGCTGAGATTATGAAGACGGTAATAGACATTTATTCAGCGTTGCCGTGCATTAAAATTCAAAACCTCACCTTGGCACAAAGGGAACGACGTTTCCGCGAGCACGGAGGCAGCAGCCAACGGTCTGAGAAAGAATTGTGCCGCCGCCACGACCGCCAGCGATCGCCCCAACGGCAAGAAAACAAACGACGAGCTCATTGAGGCTTGTGTAGTGCTGACTACTGATTCATCGGACGACAAAGGTGGATGATGTAAAACGCAACGTAAGTTTGCCAGCGTTTTGCAAAACGAATTCGTTTCGTTGAAAATTTAATTTGTGGAATTCGTTAACGCCTTGAAAGTTTGACGGGGACCGCATTGTGAACGCAGGCTTCACACAAGTGTTTTCTACAGTGTGTGCTTTGGCTGCATGCATATAAAGACAAAAACACTGCCTATATGGTGCATAAAATAAAAGAAATTTCGTTTATCTTGATAATGTTGACTATCTATTGAGTGTTGTTGATAGTAGTGGCGTAGCCAGGAACTTCTAAGGGGGTGAGGATGGAGGGGGGTTGAGGTGGCTGGGATGTTCATGACTTGGGGTGCGAGGGGGATGGTTTCGGAATTTGTGTGTATATTCTAGGGCCCGCCGATTTGGGGAGGGAAGGAGCGAAGCCCTATAAACCCCCCCCCTCGCCCCCCCCCCCCCTCCCCGGCTTTGCCACATAAGGGGAGCATCCTACATTCACAGGCTGCTATAAGCATGTGCATAGCCACTGAGCTCGTACCACAATGGCAAGATATAGTTGCTGACATTCTTCACGTTACGTAGCAGTTCTTTCTTTTTTGTACATATGCTCGCTTTTCCTTCGCACATCTACTCTGCCTCCGCTTGTCGTTTATGCTTGATGGTGATAGGCCAACAGTGCGTATTTGCTCTGCATCACAGGCAAATTTCAAAAATCCAGCTCACACTACTCTTTAATTTCAATGAGTTACTGTCACTTTTGAAACGACAATCTATTGAATTGCTATCATTACACGTATGTTGACTGTAGGACTATTCTATTTTTATTGTTTTTCTTGGTCACGAAGATGACAACCATCCACAAGACACTGGCTAAATTTCTCGTCTACAGTGGGTAACAATGTTACCATACTCTGTCAGACTAAACTGCTGCTGTATAGACAAGTAACGATTTATTTTAGGACAGACCTGTTCGTAGTTTATTGCAGGACATTGAAAAGTGTTCTTATAACTTTCCGATGACTGACTTGCAATTCCAGCAGCTTGGCGTGAAAAGGTAAAACATATAATTGATACAACGAAATGCCATCTGCAACCCATCCAGATTTTATTGCGTAATTGACAGTAGCTACAGACCGCAACAAATTGTCAACTAAAGACATAGGTACTAAGCGTGCACTAACTTCGAAGCGGTAGAAACCCTGAAGTTTAAACGTCAACTTACCACCATGTTGTTAATGGCAAAATGGTGATTGCGGCAAAGTGTTGGAGTCCTTCAGAATGGTGACGGTCTCCTTCGGACCAATGATGACGGTGACAAAGGTTTAGTTAGAGTCTAAGTTTAGTCAACGCACCCGAAAACTTCGGTGTGCTCGTCATGGTGGCGACGAAAGCCTTCTTTCGCACATGCCTCAGCTGCCTCGGTCCGGGGTTTTGTCGACCCAACCGTCTCTTCCCAGCCGGTTGACAGCGACACTCACGACGGCCGTCAAGGCTCTGATCACCATCCACTGGGCATTAGCTATGTGATCATCGGGGGCAACCGCGCCCTTCTAGTTCCCCGTTGCGAAAAATCTCAGTGCGATTCAATTAGTAGCTGCTGCTCGACGGTCATCATCTCTCATCGTCGCCGTCTCTCGTTGTCACACTGCGATCACAGGGTGCTTTTCGACAAGCGGTATTGTCGTCAGAAACAGTCGTCGTGCATCGCGAAGGCAACCGGGCACGGGCTCGCGGAAAACCCGTCATTGTACGCGTAGCCATCGTTGAGCAACAAGCATCGCCGCCATTTTCTACGCTCTAGAATCCTGGCCAAAGCTTGTTCCCCTTCGTGCAATAGAAAGAGAGGTTAAAAGCACGAGCGCATCACCCCGAACGATCTTGCACGAACGTTGGCTTGCACTGCGCAAGCGCCTGCTCGAAAGGGATGTTGAAAGCCCGGAGCACGTTCTTGTAGCTGCTACACCCGCACTAGCTCGCACTCATAGTGAAACAGAGTGTAGGGTGTGTCGAGTAATACCGCAGTTAATCTAGTGACGCGACTTCCGCTATGTGCTACGTAGGTCGGACGTGGTCATACGTCACTTTGTCGTCATGGTCCGAACTCGAAGAGAGACATTTACGGCAAACGGTTGCTTTTGTGTTTTGCGAACGTTCCCATGGGAACCGCGTGGAATTATCACGCGGGCTGTGGCCAATAGGAGCGCGCGGTTCGTAGGGGGGAGGAGTTTTCGAGAAACACGAACGTGACCGTTTGTGACCAGGGGGGCTAACCTCGGCGCGGCGAGCTCGAGGCGAGTTCTCCGCCAAACTCGCCGACCGCTGCGATTGGTCGGCGCCGTGCATGACGACACGCGCCGACACTCCCTAGATCGTGACGTTAACGGAGGGTTTTGAGGCGGTCGGAGAGTTGCATATTCGGAACTCGCGGCGAGATGCGGTGACGTCATTGTGACGTGGCAGAAGCCGCCGCGGATGGGAAAAGCTTGCCGGCTCCGACCTAGGCGAGCTTGGGCGAGTTGGGCGCGAGATCGGGGAGAAGCGTCCAAAATGGCAGCGTTTTTGTTCGTGTTTCGCCGCCGGCGTAGGTACTTAGACCACGCCAATGCGTTTGACATGGATGACGTTGATTTTCAACGACACTATCGCCTCTCGAAAGACGTTGTAAGGTGGCTGTGCGACGAACTGCGTGACGATCCTGGCTTGAGACGGTGGAGCCGTGCACGGACCGTCGTCACCGTTGAACAGCAAGTCCTCGTGGCGTTGCGGTTTTTCGCGACGGGAAGCTACCAGGGGTTGGTGGGGAGCGACCGAAATCTCTCCGTCCACCAGACTACGGTGAGCTCAGCCGTCCGTGCCGTGGCCGTAGCCATCGTTCGCCGCCTGGGCCCCGCGTGGGTCGCTTTCGCCGAGACCGTGGAAGAACGTGCGGCCACACAGGAAGCCTTCCTGCGACGAGGCACCCTCCCGGGCGTCGTTGGGTGCGTCGACGGGACGTTTGTGGCCATCAAGGGTCCGTCACGGTTCGACCGAACCGTCACCAAGGCGTTGTATTGGTGTCGCAAGCTCCACTACGCGCTAAACGTCATGGTGGTAAGTTTCCATTTTTGGCTCCTACCGAGTTTGTAACATGTGGTCACGTTTGTTGTAATCTGAAATCGTTATAAATCGGGGGCTTGGGGGGGGGGGGAAGGGGGGGGGGGGCGGGCTGGGGGCTGGGGGCTGGGGGCTGGAGTTGAGGTGACTGGGATGTCCACGACTTGGGGTGCGGAGAGGGGGATGGGGGGGTCACAATGCATGTGTATAATTAGGGTCGGCTAATTTTTTTTTTTTTTTTGGGAGGAGGCCGGTCTGGTTGGGCTCACTGGCTGGCTGGCTGAAGCCCCATAAGCCCTCCCCCTGGCTACGCCCCTGGGTCCGAGTAGTAATTGCTGCACAGCTCTATCGACATTGTAAGAGTGTTGGGAGACTTGCTTCTATTCATAATTTATACCTGTTGATGTGCACCGAAGGCACCGGTAGAAGCATATTGCACAATACTATTGACAGATACTTATTTCTGTCTCACAGTGCGCGGGATCACTGCTAAGTTGTCTTTTTCAAAATGAAAGGAACGTAACAGATGTACACAAGCTGCGATCATCTGTTTGTCTCTCTCTTATCGCACTCTTATTTGTTGCAGGTGTGCGACGCCAACATGCGAATCCTGGCAGTCGACCCTTCGATGCCTGGCTGCTCACATGACGCCCTTGTGTGGAGGCAGTCTTGGGTGCGGCAGCAGTGCATCGCTGGCAGGCTCATCAGGCACGGGGAGTACCTACTCGGTGAGTGTACCTAAAGTGGCAGCACATTGTCAGCTCGCATGAAAACAAAATGCAGAGTACCCAGACGTTTCTTGACTTTCACATGAACAGATTGCTGTAGAACTATACACCAGTGTTTGGATGACTGGCCTAAAGCAAGGCATCATGCAAAGGCTTACTTTCATGTCCTTGCTCGAGGCTCTGGAGCAGAGATGAGGAATTTAACAGTTCATCTTTAGTGCATTAGGGTCGAAACTGTTGAAATCAAGAAGTGTTGTCAGTTAACCACTGAATTACACTAGGCACTGCGAGAATAGGAAAGAGCGGAGTGGGGTTGATAGGTGCTCCGTGTCCAGCCTCCAGCTGCAAAGAAGCTCCTTCAAGTGTACCATTGCGTTTTATTTCAATCTCATCAAGGTGAGACTCTCGCGGGTAACAGACATGAGAAATACTCTTGGAGATAGCCTCACGGTCCTCATTCCCAGAGCTTCCACAGCATTTTCCAAAAACTCGTTTCCAAGGCGTGTCATCATCACCATAGTCGGTGTCATCTGTAAAAACCTGTTGAGACGGCAAACACCTGATATTGGTTGACAGGTCTGCGGCGTCTCTGGCATGCAAATAAGATATAGCGGTGGTTTCAACAAGTAGTACTCGTTATCAGCACTACTCGGAAGCTACAAGGTTAACGCTGAATGCACACCACCTGCTTGTGGAAACGGCATATGGAGGGTCGGACGGGATAAATCAAATTTCGATAAAACACAGCATGTGGTTCACGTATCTGAGATTAGACTTGCTATTTTTCATGCAGGAGACAGTGGGTACCCGTTGGAGCCATGGCTCATGACTCCCGTGCCTGGCCGGCCAGCTGTCTCCACACCTGCCGGGCGTTACAACGCTGCCCACGCCTCAATGAGGTCGGTGGTGGAGCGCTGCATTGGGCTGCTGAAGAGTCGTTTTCGATGCGTGCAAAAACACCGGGTTCTTTACCACCATCCAAGGATCGCCGGCACGATCGTGGCAGCCTGTGCAGTGCTCCACAACATCTGCCTCAGCGCAGGGGAATCAGATCCGGGATCATCGTCGTCGGAATCCGAGTCAAGCAGCGGCTCTGACGATGACAGCGAGGCAGACGAGAGCAGTGACGCAGCACGAGAGCGCAGAATCCTGCAGTCGAGGCGCCTCTACATTGAGGGTAAGGCCATGCGGGACCAGCTTGTGCTTGGAGCTACCACAAGTCATGTGCGTCGTGTACGTCGCCGGCTTCACCGGATCCGCCATCGTGGCCGCCACCAGTGATGGTCTCATACTTTCTAAGTGTAATGCATGCTCAGTGCTGTGGATGTTCTGCCGGAGCCTTCTCGGACCCCGTGTGTGTGCCTGTACAGTAAGGTCTGTGTTGTGCCAGAGCCTTCTCGGACTCCGTGTGTGTGCCTGTACAGTGAGGTCTGTGTTGTGCCGGAGCCTTCTCGGACTCCATGTGTGTGCTTGTACAGTGAGGTCCATGTTGTGCCGGAGCCTCCTCGGACTCCGTGTGTGTGTCTGTACAGTGAGGTCTGTGTTGTGCCGGAGCCTTCTAGGACTCCGTGTGTGTGCTTGTACAGTGAGGTCCATGTTGTGCCGGAGCCTCCTCGGACTCCGTGTGTGTGTCTGTATAGTAAGGTCTGTGTTGTGCCGGAGCCTTCTAGGACTCCGTGTGTGTGCTTGTACAGTGAGGTCCATGTTGTGCCGGAGCCTCCTCGGACTCCGTGTGTGTGTCTGTATAGTAAGGTCTGTGTTGTGCCGGAGCCTTTTAGGACTCCGTGTGTGTGCTTGTACAGTGAGGTCCATGTTGTGCCGGAGCCTCCTCGGACTCCGTGTGTGTGTCTGTATAGTGAGGTCTGTGTTGTGCCGGAGCCTTCTCGGACTCCGTGTGTGTGCCTGTATTGTGAGGTCTGCATTGTGCCGGATCCTACTTGGACTTCGTGTGTGTGTGTGTGTTTGCCTGTGGGTGAGGTGTGTTTACTGCCGGAGCTTGCTTGGACTTCGTGTTTGTGTACAGTGTTTCCACTGTCCTTTTCGCAAGATTCGCAGGTATGTGGATCCTATGCAGTGTTTTGAGCTTTTTGTTTGGTGTTCTTTTGACAAGTTTCACGTGTACGGGTGTCACGTGAGAAGAAGTAGTGAGCGACGTCATGTTTGATGTTCTTTTTTGCGAGTTTCACAGATACGGGTGCCTCAGGAGAACAAGTAGTGACTCTGACGTCATGTTTGATGTACATTTTTGCAAGTTTCACATGTATGGGTGTTCCGTGAGGGCAAGTTGTGACCCTGATGTCGTGTTTGATGTTCTTTTTTGCAAGTTTCACACGTACGGGTGCCTCAGGAGAACAAGTAGTGACTCTGACGTCATGTTTTATGTACATTTTTGCAAGTTTCACATGTATGGGTGTTCCGTGAGGGCAAGTTGTGACCCTGATGTCGTGTTTGATGTTCTTTTTTGCAAGTTTCACACGTACGGGTGCCTCAGGAGAACAAGTAGTGACTCTGACGTCATGTTTGATGTACATTTTTGCAAGTTTCACATGTATGGGTGTTCCGTGAGGGCAAGTTGTGACCCTGATGTCGTGTTTGATGTTCTTTTTTGCAAGTTTCACACGTACGGGCGGCTCAGCAGGATGTGTTTTTGCATTAGACTTTTGTTGCGGCATTTCTGCAAGTGTACGGATGAAGGTACCTTATGCAGTGATGCCCGGCTAGCAAAGTGTTTGCTAGAGGGGAAAGGAGCTGGTATCAACACCTTTACCCACGCATCTGTTGAACCATTGATGGAGCACATTGCCGGGCAGTTTATAACTCTTCTCTCAACAGTTGCTTCCGAGGAGGCTCATGGGCTCTTGTTAAACTCAACTGACAAATGTAGTTTGTTATACGCCCTGTTTTCGTCAGCCAACATGCATTGTTCAAGATTTCGCTTGGTGTACAGATTCCTCGGTGCTTGCAGAGGTTGCGAGGTATCTAAAACTTCAGAAAAAGCGCTTGTGAAAAAACTTTTTCACAACATGCATATAGTTGTCGGTCCCTGCCTGTGAATGAATAGGTCACACTGACGCATAGCTTAAGGCAAACAGAACTCGCTCTCAGTTCTAATCTTTATGGGGAAGAATGTTTGATGGCTGCAAGAACAGGGGCCTTGCAGTCCAGAGCTTGCACAGCTGGTTTCACGAGCTCTTCAAGACAGAGGCTTTGGGTATCTCCTAGTCGCAATGCTTTTCAAGGACGGGGTGGGGGGGATATTAGCTCAGCCTCGCAACTTTTGTCGTTACGAGGGAAAAGGTTACATGATTTGTTGTTATTGATGGAGGTGAGGGTTAATTTGTTTACATGTTCCATGTCCCTCGTAGGTTGGGACGCCAGCTTTTGTTACAAAAGGTCATACGGCCACCTACATAATCAAGAGCGGCAGTAGTTCATTTCACAGAATGTTCCAGATTTCTCCACGTAAATGTTTGTGAAACATGCTAGAAAAGAAATAAAATGACCACGTCTTGTAAAACATCTTTGTTGACAATGATTCATAGAATACTATTAGGAATACAGTCGCCCACCAATTTTTCGGATGCAGATAACTCACACTTGTTCGATATTTCTGGCCTAAAGGAGGAACCGTCACCTACCCGATAGAAAGAGTGCATGTTCACAACTGATGTATCGGACAGCTTGAAGTCCGAACGTTTGATTTTTTGGAAAAAAATCGTCGCGAGCGATCACCACGAAGCACCACCGCCGTGCGGCTATTTTTAATTCTTGGTTTGGCAGGCCTCATTGAGTACTGCTAAGTTTACTGCTACGTGATGCTGTATGGGTTTTTTTCTTTTATTCTAGCTGCTTTTCATTATCATCATCATTGTTGTTACCATTTTTCTTTGTTGATTCGCCATTGCAGTTGTGGACTTGCGCCTCATCTCGACCTCGTTTCGGTGGATCGTGTTTTTGGAAAACGCTAGCTTGGACGTCATTGCCCATCTGTTCTTCGCTGCTATGATGTTTTGCTAAGAAGCGCAGAAAGTACTCGACCATAACGCTAGAAAAGAAGGCAGCAATTCTCAAGCTAATAAAAAGTTGCTGAACGCAAACGGGCGTAACCTAAAACAAGGCGCGTTGACATAACCCGAAGTAAGCTACTATTTATGGCTTTTTTAAGCCGGCTTAGACGTAATAAAGGCAGTTTTTTAATCTGCTGAATTTTCAGACTACTATCTTATTCAGACGGTTTTTCAATCAGTGCGAAGTCCGAAAAATCAATTGGCGACTGTATACATTGTCCTAAAAATAATTATGCAGGACTACAAACTCTGTTGCATTTCATAAAAAAAAAAACGGGTAGGAGTGACTTAGTCCAACTGCGGCGGTGTTGGGGGCCTGCTCGGCACAAGCACGACGCGCTGGAATGTGGTGGCCAACATGGCCACAAGCAGCAGGAGTGCTCTGGGCACCTGCATGGCCGCAGCCTGCTGTTCCATGGCTGCGGCTTGCTGCTCCATCGCCGCAGCCTGCCGCTCCATCGCTGCAGCCTGCCGTTCCATGGCAGCTGCCTGCCGTTCCGTTGCGCTGCATTGTCGCCTCATTTCGGTTAGCAGCGATTCCACGTGCTGGAATGATAAGAGGTGCATAAGATAACTCGGTTCACAAAAAGTTGCCTGTTTGTCACCATCAACCTGTTTCAACACTCGGTACTCCACATATTTTGGACATGTCCCCAAGACAAGTAAGGCCTGTTGCTGTTTCCAATTGCCCGAACATCATTTTGTTGATATGTTGTTCAACGACATGCGTAATTTAAAGAATATCAGAACGTATATTATTTTAATACCAGTGTATCATGCAACTTGCAGCAATCGGAGCCATCAGTCTAATCAGATGACCTGATAAATCTATAAATTGGAAGCACCCCATAATTTGAACATTTCATACTTGCTTTGCTTATGATCATTCTTCCGAATGATTTGGCTTTCTGGAATTTACTGTCGGGACATAAACAACGGAAACACTGATTATGATGATTCCGAAATAACTCTAAGTACCCCCCCCCCCCCCCCCCCCCCTCTGTGTGATTGTCGAAAGGAAATTTTGGGCCGGGTATTGCCGTATATATAGCATCTATCTTTCTCTAGTCAATCTGTAATTTTCCCTGGTCACGCCTGTACCAGGAACACCAAATTGTAATAGCTGTTATTTTTCTCATCATTAGACCATCAATTCTGTACCATAACCGTGCTGCTGAAAGGATAGGAGACAGCAAAGGCATGCACTAACAAATATTGGTACATGCACATGCACCAAGACATGTCAGATGACATCAGCCACCGAGGCAAATGCCGCTTGAGGAAATAGGTCCCATACCCGTTCCGAAGCAGCAGCCCTCGCCTCTGCGAGGTCCACCAGGCGTCGTTGGTCTTGAACATATTCCTCGGCAGCATCATGGCCCCCCTTGCGTTTTCGACGCCGTGGTGCCCGTACAGGACACTGTGCAAGGGTGGTTGACTGGCTGGGAACTAAGGGCGAAAGCAATTGTAAACAAAGTATGAGGTGGACGAGACACAGCCAGTAAGCAGCAAGCAAGGACTCTTTGCCAAGCTCCATGTGCTATCTCAAAAAGTATTAGAAACACCTGATAAATACCATAATATGCCCAGAATGTGCATGTTTCACAGTACATGTAAGGGTGCTACTTTTAAAATGTGTGGAAATTATTCAGAAGGTAACTTGGCCACCCAACTGATTGAACTGACCCGTCGTGTCGGCTGCTTCTCCAAGCACACCCGTGCACGGCAGTCAAGGCTGACGCAGGTGCAACAATTCTGAACGTTAAGGCCTGCCATATGCTATGTATATTTTGTGCAATATTTTTTTCTTTTTAACTGAACATGTGCTTAGACACTAATTTTTCAGAAATCTCACACTTCGATTGCACATTTCCTCAGTATTTTCAGGCAGCACTCTTAATGTGGCCCACATATTGCTCTTCCATGCAGTTATCTTATGGACGCGTGCATTGTCAGACCTCGAGTCTGAATGTAATGTAATAAGCCATGCATTTGTCTTAATTTAGGATCATTCTTAAATTTGTTCTCACAGGCAGGACATATATGATTCGAAACACTGATAGCAATGCTTGCTATAGTAAGAAACTTACCGGATGTGTCGGTCGTGCCCTCATTTCCAGGTGACAAAAGCCTGGAAGCTGGTGGTGCAGCTTGGTGTCCTGTTTATATTTGTTCATATTATGAAGGACACATATCAACTGAAACACAGACAGCATTGCTTACTATATTGAGCAACTTACTGGATGCACCGCTTGTCCCTGCAATCTCCCCAACCGAAACTCTTGGTGGCGACTCGGGTGAATGTGGTGGTGGTGCACCCTGAAAGTGGTGCAGGGTTTTGAAGGTAAATATCTCCGTCGTCTAATGGCAAGAGGGACTTAGAGACGGAGGCAAAACAATACTTTTTGGTGAAATGGAAAATGGGGAAACTTATTGCTGTATGCTTCAGCAATATTTACAGGTGTCGACACTGCACTATGAAACAACATTCAGAAAACTGTGTTTTGCTTTTCTTTTAGGCTGTGGCTAGGGTTCCCTCCAGACAGAAAAATTGTCATCACTAGGGTCCTGTCGAGACGGAAAGTTAACAAACCTTGTAGACTTCCGTCCAGACAGAATCACATTCACCACTGGAGGTCCATGCAGAGAGAGAACTCTAGCCGCCGCTCAAATTCCGTCCAAACTAAAGAGAAACACGCGACAAGCTCCGTCGAGCTACACGGGGGTTGGTCGCTATATGCTGGTGCCCCTAATCCATTTTCGGAGTAACAACTGGCAATGTTCCAGTGTCAAGTTTAATTTAGTCTTTAAGTTAATTGCGATTGTCCCAGCAATCATGTTTTTTTAAAGTTTGTATTTATTGAAAGCCAGGTACAGTGAATGTGGTGGATCATTTTCAAAGTTTTATTTAGGAATGACAACCATTCTAATGCAAGACCTGAGGCGGGGTGTATTCTTATAATGACGGAGCAGTTCCTGTCTCCACTTCCCTCAACGTTTCTCCTAGATTGCAGCATATAGTTTTGTAATTAGGTTTGAACAAAAAGAAGCTTGTGTTGTGCCTCCAGGTTGCAAATATTCACAAAAAATATCCTTAGCGTCCGAAAAAATTGACTGACAGCTTCTTATTGTTTTTCAATCTTGAAGACGAAAAGACAAAATGCTATCCACTAGGCCCTCTGGACGGAACCCTGCTGGGCCTGCTACCGTTCCACCTGGACAGAACTCTCCTGCGTCTGCTGCTGTTCAGACTGGACTGAACTCTAGACACTCCATTCCTCTTATGTTCTTTAGACTTGTCACATTCTGATCCCAAGCAGATCAGTGTGCATGCTCCATGCTCATTTCAAAACCATGAAACAAAAAAATAACCACATTGGAAAAATCGGCATGTTAGATGGAAGTTTACCCCTTATGTTCCGATGCAGCCTCTTATTCATGTAGATATCCTCGCCAGATAGCACACTTATGTGGTGTGCTCGACACTTGGCCCAAAATCCGTAGAATGTGCTAAGCGACCAGCCTCAATTTCTCGGTGTCCATATATAATACACCTGTATAGGTCCTATGCACAAATAGTCTACTTAGCGCGTCCCAATTTTTCTTGTTTATGTACAATCATTTCAGCTTTAGAGAAGCTTACGTTCTTACCTCTGGCCGACCAGGCAGCTTCACGGAGCCGCAATCGTTAGATGCGTCGTGGCCAACGACGTCCAGAACGACGCCGGCCTCGCCGGGCACCGAGCCGCCGCCTGTACCGCTGGGCAGGAACGTCGAAAAATGAGTTCTTTCTGATTCGCAGGTATACACAGATTGCACTGACGGGAATTAGGAGATCACAGGGCTCCCTCTAGATATCATTGTGGCTCCGTAAGGCCAGCGTTCCCGAACAATGACGGGCACATACAGGTTACACATCAAGGATCAAGGGTCACTACTACTCACCCACTGCTCTGGCGGAAATCTACTGCCTTTTTTTTGGCCCAGGACACCTTGTCCGTCCAGTAATGTCGCCACCGGGCGGGCGACTTTGTGGCTGGTCCGAGGGCGTTCAGTTCAGCCGTGAGCTGTCTCCACAGCTTTTCTTTGCTTTCGCGCGTTACCCCTCCTGTAAAATCACTGGCGGCGCGTGTAATTTGCGGGTGGTCGCGCATGAATGAATACAAGTGCTCTTGTTGAGCAGCAGAAGCTCGAGGCTGCAGTCTTTTAGCTTGCATCGCGCTTTCTTGGCCGTCGTCCATGGTGTTCTATTCGCCCGCGTTCGCTCATAGCAGACGAACAGCATGCTCGCAGTGATTCCTATAAACATATGGGTTTTTACAGCAATTCGCTACCAGGAATACAATTTATTATTACCTAAAGGCTTTGATAATTAGCATCCATGCTTTTTCCGATTTTTATTTGTCATTTCCGATTTAAATCAAATTAAACCCTTCACTGCGGAGCGTAGGGGCAAATCGGAGCTACGCTGGGGAACTCGCCGACGTCGGGGGGGTCGGAAATGTAAGAGGAGGAGTGGGAAACTCGCCGGGGCGGAGTTAAAAGAAGCTCCTCCCCTCCCTCGCGACGCTGCATCGGAGGGATTCCCGCCGAGGCGAGCTTAGCCCCCCAGAATAGCACTCCTGGGGGGCTAAGCTCGCCTCCGGCGGGAATCTCTCCGATGCCACGTCACGAGGGAGGGGAGGAGCTTCTTTTGACTCCGCCCCGGCGAGTTTCCCACTCCCCCTCTTACATTTCCGACCCCCCCGGCGGCGGCGAGTTCCCCAGCGTAGCTCCGATTTTTCCCTACGCTCCGCAGTGAAGGGTTTTTATTTTATTTTTATTTTTTTTTAATCGGGGGATCGGTGGTCGGCTGGGCTAGCGCACACCAGCTTGGAGCACGTCGAACGAAAGGTCCGTTGCAGAACCCAGGATGCTGGGTTCAATCCCCACCCCTGCCCGTTTCGATGTTGATGAGCATCGTACCGGCGTGCAGTCGTGTAACACTACTGCGGGATGGAAGTTAAAGACCTCAGGCTAGCGGTTGTACGACACTGCATGGCTAAATTTCTCATCTACAGCTGGGAGAATCTTCACCGTTGAAGCAGACCAAGTTTTAGGCAGTATCAACATACATACAGCCCAATTTTTGTTTTATTTAAATCGTAAATGACAAATAAGAATAGGTAACAGCAGGGATGCTAATTATACAAACATTGCTTGGATGTGGGCTAGTTGACTAGACATTGTGATGGTTTGCTGCGCCACTTAGATGCAAGAAAAACGCTCTTGATAAATATAAACTAGAGCAGAGTATAGACGAAAAACAACATACAGGAATGGCGCAGACTAACAACTGTGTAATTTCTTTCTCATCTTCCCTCACACCGCCACACAGCCACAATTTTTTTTTTTTTCACAATAGGGTGCACGTGGAGCGAAAGCTCGCGCTGCAGAACCCAGGAGCGTGGATTTACTCCCACCCCTGCCCTTTTCGATGTTGATGAGCATCGTACCGGCATGCGGTCGTGTATCACTACAACGTGGAGCACGTAAAATACCCTAGGCTAGCAGTCATACTGCACTGGCTAAATTGCTTATCTACAGTAGGTGACAATGTCGCAATGTTCTGGCATGTTCTCCTGCTGTAAAAACAACTAACGGCCAATTTGTTTGACAAAATACGCTGTGGAAGAAGAAAGATGAGAAAGAAATTACACTGTTGTTAGTCTGCGCCATTCATGTATATTACTTTTCTTCTATCACCTGTTTTAGTTTGAATTTTGTCAAGTGCGTTTTTCTTGCATCTACGCAGCACAGCAACCCATCAAAATAATTGTAAAAGCCTGTAGGTAATGGTAAATTGCTTTCCTGGTTGCAGATTGCCGTAAAAACACATTTGTTTCTAGGATTCACTTTGTAGAATTTGGATGTAGGATTCACGACGGGGGTGACGGTTCATTCACGGCTCCATCGCCTCAAGCCCGGTTCGCCACGCAGTTCATCGCACAGCCACCTTACCACGTCTTTCGAGAGGCGATAGTGTTGTTGAAAATGAACGTCGTCCATGTCAAACACATTGGCGTGGTTTAAATACCTATGCCGACGGCAAAACACGAACGAAAACGCTGCCATTTTGGACGCTTCTCCCTGATCTCGCGCCCAACTCGCCCAAACTCGCCTAGGTCGGAGCCGGCAAGCTTTTCCCATCCGCGGCGGCTTCTGCCACGTCACAATGACGTCACCACATCTCGCCGCGAGTTCCGAATATGCAACTCTCCGACCGCCTCAAACCCTCCGTTTAACGTCACGATCTAGGGAGTGTCGGCGCGTGTCGTCATGCACGGCGCCGACCAATCGCGGCGGTCGGCGAGTTTGGCGGAGAACTCGCCTCGATCTCGCCGCGCCGAGCATAGCCCCCCTGGGCTGGTCCTCCTTTGAGGCACGGGAGGCTTCAAGCAAGATTGCGTATGACGGACGCCTTCGACTTATGAATAGATGCCGTTGGGCGAAGAGGCTGTTTATATACACCAACTTGACTGGGCTGCGGACCCGCTGGCAGAAGCGCCTCTATCAGCTTCAACACAAGTACGGCTTCTTCTCGGAGCCTGTTGATGTGTCGACAGAGACGGAGTGGACGACGGAAGTTAGGAAGAGAGTCCGAGACTGCGTGACCCAACAATAGCTCCAAGAAGCCCAAACGAAATCGACGCTGGAGGTGTACCTCGCCAACAAAATAACCATCGCCTCGGAAGTCCGGCTGTATGACAACAGCCTGGGTAGCCGCTTCTTGTTCGAGGCACGTGCCGGAGCACTGCGGATGCTGTGTTATAGGCGTCGTTTCGACACCACTGTCACGTCAACAATGTGTAGGGTGTGTGGGGTAAATGACGAAACGGTGGAGCATAATGTGCTAGACTGCGCGAGACTCAAGCCGTCCCGGTCACAGGACAATGGCCCAAGGCATCCGAGACCCTTAGCGCTCGCTGAAGCGTTGGGCTTCACTGACAGTGAAATCAGACAATCCACAGAAGTTTGCCTAGCAACGGGGCTGAAAGTAGCCTCCAACGACACAAAAAGGCTTGTTGCAGACACAAAAAGGAGACTGGAGGACTGGTGGCAGAAGATCCATCTCAGGGAGCATTAAGACACCTACGCTCCCAGGCTTGGGAACAAACCTTGTTTGAGTCCTCCCGATTCAAAGGGAAGTAGACGCATCATCATCATCATCATCATCATCATGCTTGTTGCAGACACGGAAAGGAGACTGGAGGACTGGTGGCAGAAAATCCACCTTAGGGAGCATTAAGACACCTACGCTCCCAGGCTTAGGCACAAACCATGTTTGAGTCCTCCCGATTCAAAGGGAAATAGCCTCATCATCATCATCATCATCATCATCATCAGTCTGCAGCTTTACTTTTTCACTTTCGGCGGCCGCGTCTCGTGGCGATCTGCCAGGCTTTGTCAGTATAGACCTTTGTCCGGAAGTGCTCTTTTTAGCCTCGACCGCAAGGAGCAAATGCGAACAATAATCTTGAACCCAGACGCTCACGGGGAGGGGGGGCTGCGTCGGCTTGCGCTGCTGCTTCCCGCCGCGGGCTTCTTCGCTGGTGTGCCGACTGCCGTTTCTCCGGCATCGGTCCTGTTTACCGCGGTATGTGGGTATAGTGCCCGTAATGTGAGAGCCGTTTGTCCATACGCCACTTTGCCGATGTCGGTTTTCATCTAGCCGAGCCAGAAAACATCTCGCGATGAGTTGACCGCGCCGCGAGTGACGAAGAAAAAGCAAACATGGCGACGGTTTGTGCGATTGCTTCGGTGGCTCCGGTGTTGCGTGTCTTCAACGTCCTCGTGACAAGATTCCCCTGCCCTTCGAAGTTAATGCAAGCATCACGACTCGCACGAAAGATGGGGAATTATCGTCTCAACTACAAATAGGCAGGCCTTCGCGAGCAACGACGATGCCGAGCAGGCGCTCGGCACAGTTGTGTCGTCAGAGGTTCTACAACACCGAGGTATTTTCATTTATTATTTGGAATATCTTCAAGAGTGGGAAATTAATCTATTTCGCGGATTCTTAACGCCGAGGCGAGTGCTCTCCATTGCGGTGCCGTTGTCGCGCAAAGTGCAGAGAAAACCGGGTGGCGATGGCGGCGGTGCTCTTTGATCGCTTTGATCTAGCGCCGTCGGGTTCATGGAGTCCGGAGTAAACGTACGTACACACACAGCGAAAAAGTACACCCCTGGACGTGTAAACCGTTGTCCCAGGGCGGACTCCCCAAATGGTGTTCGTTTTACACGCGAGGCTCGGTGTATTTCGTTTGCACCCGAGGTCTTGTGTAAAATGAACATCTTTGAACGTGTACTTCGTTATGCGATCACACGTCTAGGGGTGTTTTTTTACAATGGCGGCCGTTTGACGCAAGACGGGTTCGACGAGCGAGGCCCAGCGCTTTACACGGCTTTTCGCCGCAGCGAAAGCGTAGTTTGCACGTGTTCGTTCGTAATCGTCCATACATGCTGAACTACCGCAAGCATTCACCCCCAAGCGCCGACGCCGTATCCATTACGGCGATTACGCGACAGTGGGAGCGACCATCGACTGCATCCAGCAGCGTGCTTCCCCATCGAGCAGGTCTCGTTCGCGTGGCGGTTCAGCCGATCGCCGAGGCCTCAAGCCGGTTGCATTGTCACCGACGCCGGGTAATTTCCACAGCAGTTATCTTTTCGCGACCACAGACATGAACTTTATTGAAAAAGCCCGTTTGCCGCGAGCGACGACGAATAGCTCCGACACCGACCCGACCCGACCCTACCCGACCGGCGTTACCGACGTCCCGCTCACCTCTTTACCGCGAGCAAAGTTGTACGCTACGTTTCGACGTATCCACTCATATCTCGTGTGTACGCAAATTTTGCGGCTTTCCGGGTACGAATCGGCTACCGAAACGCCCAGCGAACGAAGACGAACTGAACGCCGGCGCTATGCGCCATTTAAACACGCGGTTACTTTTCTACTAGACTGTAGATATGTGGTGTGGTTCCTTACACATAAATGGACTACATACAAAAGAAGCTAAAATAAAATTGGGCGGCTGCTTGCGCCACCTAGTGAGTATGCGGAAAACTACAAAAATGAAGGACATTTCGACATTTGTGGAAGTGACACGCTGGAACACGGACGGCAGCATACCAACACATACATCACAGCACATACCACAAGATCAACATACAAGCATCTACATACACAAACAACGAACAGAGGCACTAACAACCCGACACTCCTACTCAATTACAGCAGAAACCCGCTCGGTATATATAGCAGACTTTTTGTTTCAGACGAAGGTCCGGTGACACCCCCCGTATTTTATATGAACGTAACGATATTACACAATTATTACTTATATAGTACGGCGACATAAATATAATTTGGGAAGGTACACATTTCTCTTAGTCTAGATTATAGCTAAAAGACACCC